GCAGAAAGTAATTCAATCAGGAAATGTAGTACCCTGTGTTGGCAATAAGATGAGGCTGGTGGCACTTTAGAGTGCTACTAGGGAATGTCGTACCCTACGTAGGCAAAAAAAAACAGTGCGACCAGGGGATGTAGTGCCCTAGATTGAAGATACGGCATTGAATCCCTAAAATGAAACTAAAAATAACATGATTATATGTATATTGGAAGAAAATTAAGGATTTTGAGAACCTCACTCGGTGGGGTTCGTTTTTTCACGAACTATTTCCTAAAACTATTTTGTTCCTGCTCTGAACAAAGAAAGATTCGTTAGTTTAAAATGGTGGTCAGTTTGTGGCCTTGATTTCTTGGGTGACATGACCTTGCGTCCATTACACTTGTTAGAAAAACTGACTCTGTCGATGATTGTACAAATTGCCGGGAGTTCTGTCTTTACTTTCTGGAGGTATGCCTTCTCAACATCAAAACCTGACTATTTTGTGCCTATCACCGTTTGTGTTTATGGTACAAACAGCCTTGCTCCCAAAATAACTTTTAACTGAGTAACTTTTGTTGACCCTTGAAACATTGTTCAGTCCTTCAAGCCTTTTGCTCGTCAGGGAAAAATCAAAGATGGCTTTATGCCTTTGCCCATACTGGTTATGCCTAGAAAGTTTTGCTTCATATAACAGGGAAACTATAACCAATTTTGCAGCCTTTACATTGCTTTGCTTTGACAAAATTAGACTGAAAGGGACTAAAAAAGTGATACGAAAGAAAACAAGGAGGTGAAGTAATATGTCTTACAACTTAATCACGAAGTGTCCCTTTTAGAGGAAAAAAAAGAAAGGACTTATCTGGAGGAATATGCTGACTTCAACGAACATGACATGCACTTTGGACTGGATGCCTGATCCGTTTGAATTGTCTAATTCTCGAAATTTGTTGTAAACATCACTTTGAAACTGAGTTCTTTGTCTTAACCATGCTTGTGCCGAGATATATGAAGACCTAAAATCGATCAACGATGCCCTTTGTGGGTTTTCACCAATTGACCTCTCTCATTTGCCTTTCTCTCAACTCACCATCGCCTTATAGTGCCGTGAGGGTTTTTACCAATAAGACTCTCTCATTTATTTTTCTCTCTTTACAATGGCTGAGTCATCACCGTAATATAACAACTTAGCATCCTCAAAAGCTGATTAGAAGGTCTTAAAGAGGAAAGGTAAAAAGAACTATTCAACTGAATTATAGCTTTTGGAACCATTTTGACAGAAAAACCGTCGAAAAATAAAATAAAATCATGCCCAATTTCTTTGAATACTGGAAATGTGGATTTTTGTTTTAGTGTGACCGAACCCCAGAGTGAGGATGCCTATGTATCCTTTCGGAATCAGGTCGGACGTAGTTCAATTAACATGAACTTGTTTTGATATTTTTTTTTACTTTTCTTTTTCTTTTCCTTTTTTTTTTACTTTTGTTTTTGATTAAGTACATAGGTTCCAAAAGAGAGGAAACACAAAGAAATATAAACAAGGCTTCAAAGGGCTAACTGGGGCTGACTAGTGTTTGGGTAGCGAGAATGATACCTTTCGTCATCCCAACCTGAGAATGCTAAGTATATCTATATGAAAAAAATGCCCCAACAGAAGCATGTCATATATCGTATCTCTTGACCGCATTTGCATTGACGGATATATATGTCACCTTTCTTTCTATATCTGCCAAGTGTAGAGCTCCTTTTGAAAATACTTTTTTGACGAGGTAAGGACATTGCCAATTCGGGGCGAACTTTCCTTTTGCTTCTTCCTGGTGCGGAAAGATACGTTTCAAAACAAGTTCTCCTAGCTCAAATTGTCTTGGGCGCACTTTCTTATTGTAAGCACGTACCATTCTTTGTTGGTATAACTGACCAAAACAAACTACCGCCAAGCGCTTTTCATCAATTAAACTCAATTGTTCCAATCGGGACTTGACCCAGTCAGTGTCTTCGATCCTTGCTTCAACAATGATTCAGAGAGAGGGAATCTCAACTTCAGCAGGTATGACCGCTTCCGTGCCATAAACCAACTAGTAAGGTGTTGCGCCAGCTTATGTACGGACAGTTGTCCGGTATCCCAAAAGAGCAAAAGGCAGTTTCTCATGCCATTGTCTAGATCCTTGGACCATCTTCCAAAGAATCTTCTGGATGTTCTTATTCGCAACTTCAATAGCTCCATTAGCTTTGGGCTGGTAAGGAGTAGAGTTGTGATGCTCAATTTTAAATTGTTCACATACCTCCTTCATCAGATGACTATTCAAGTTAGCATCATTATCTGTGATAATAATTTTTGGAATACCAAAACGGCAGATGATGTTGGAGTGAACAAAGTCTACTATTACTTTCTTGGTGACTGCCTTCAATGTAATAGCTTCCACCCATTTGGTGAAGTAATCAATTGCAACCAGGATGAATCTGTCACGACCCAAACCGAAGGGCCGCGACGGGCACCCGGTGCCTTACTCAACCGAGTACCATCGTAACATATTTTTCTTATCATACTATCAAGGGTAAATGAGATAGAAAATATTTCATGAGATAACAAGAATAAAACATAAGGGAATACTCAACATATGATGACCGAACATAATATACAAACTTATACATGTGACATACGGGCCTATAAGGCCGACATGACCATTTGTAAACTCAAGACATAGGCCGACAAGGCCATACAAGTATCCATACACCTGACATCTGTCTACAAGCCTCTAAGAGTACATAAAATCATAAAGGTCGGGACAGGGCCCCGCCATACCAATCAATACATATCCAAAGCATACTGACCAAATAGGCAACTCCGGAGCAAGTGGAGTAGACCAACACCTTCGCTGAGCAGATAGCCTACTAGGAGGAATGTCAACCTGTCTATCGGGACCTGCGGGCATGAAATACAGCGTCCCCGGGCAAAATGGACGTCAGTACGAATAAAGTACCGAGTATGTAAGGCAGGAAAGCATAAACAAGATCAGTAACGTAAAGAGAGATAGAGGAGATACAACCTGTAACATCTGAGTGCCTCTGGGGGCTACTGACATGAAATGCATAATACATATATATACATAAGCTTTTAAAAACATACGCCTCTGTGGGCATCATCATCATCATATCATACCCGGCCTCAAAGAGGACTCGGTAAAAACATAGAATCATACCCGGCCACGTGGAGCTCGGTAAACCCAACTGATCAGTGGTTGCACAATAGGTGCCATACCCGGCCGACTATTGCGCGGCTCGGTAGAGTAAAGTAGATACATATATAATGCATGCTGGACTCATGGAGTCACGTTCTAAACCTTTTGGAGTGACATAAGGTCATTGCACAATCGATTAATATTATGGACATCATACCATCAATATGAACTTCACTAGGACTCAAGGATCATATATACTTTCTTGGAATAACTTTGTAAGGAAAGAATAACATGGACAACCTTAGTTGCTAGGAGTAGATTCATTATGAAATAGCGTATCGTTTATGTTCGTTTCACTTTAGATCATGCCAAAAGAATGAAGGAAGAGCCTTAACATACCTTGTATATACTGCCCCAATCTCAAGCTATGCAATTTTCACGACTCCTTAGTCTACAATAAGAGAAACGATACTGTAGTTATCATTCAAGCGTCATAACTATTATGTATCGACCACAACCTATTTTACGATGAAACGGACAGCACCTCCCCTATATATATGACTTCACACAATTCCAAACAATCACCAAACAGCCCAAACAACATCAATAATAATCATATTGAGCCTCTCAAAACAGTCCACGCACAACCTAATCACTTCATACATACGACGGCCACCGTAGTCGTGTCAAACGACCCGGAAATGATACAAAGAACTACCAGCCCACAACCCTACATCTATATGGTGTTTTTCCACATCCTTCCTCCTCCAAAACTCCACAAAACAGTAGTAAAACACGCAGCCCAACAGCAACACAAAACAGTCCACAAAACAGTCCGCTACAAGTGAATAACTCGAACTCACGGCTTCCGATCACCGTCCCGTGAGTTCTTACATGTATAGAACGAATTACCATGAATTCACAGCAGAATAAATGTATGAAACAGAGCATTAAACTCACCTTACTTGTTGGATAACTCAGCCCTTCCCTTGGTTCTTCAAACTCTAGGTTTTACCCCCAATTAGAACTTGAAAGAGAGGGAAAATCGATTAGGGTTTGTAGATAATTTTTGGGAGGAAGTTTGCAGGGGTTTAGGTCTGGTTATTTGTGATATATAATTAGGGTTATATTTCAGGAGATAACCCTTTAAATGGGCTCTTTGGCCGACCCGAAATTTCCTATTTTTGGGCTATCATTTAACCAAGTAGGTGACACACCTACTTGTCACCTAGCAGCTTGTGCAATCTCGCAAAAATGCCTATATCTCTCTACTCCGATGTCGTATTGATGAACGGTTTAATGCGTTGGAAACTAGACTCATAGATCTTTAATTTGATAGGTAGATCATCCCCTAGTTTCAAGTATTTTGGGAGAAAAACTCAGTTACATTTGACCTAATTTTCAGCACATTTATGAATGGAACTTGTGATGACCTTTTTCCAACTTTTGTTCCACAACTCGCTTGACTTCAAAACATAACACCAACTATCGTACGACTAAAACAACTCATAATATAATCTCCTTATAATGTTAATAACCCTAGTATCACCCCAAAAGTACATGGTAAAACATTCCAACTTGTCGACTTTCGACGAAACTTATTTTCCTCAATTCGTATAGCTTCTAAGCCTTCAAACCCTCTTGCTACTTGGTACTAATGATCTTAAATATTTGTAACCTCCACGTTAACATGATTAACTTACTTTATTTGCTTTCAAATATAATCTCATTTTCGAGCTTACATCAATGACTTACGACGTACTCTCACGTATGAAAACTTGGGGTGTAACAGAATCTGTGCCCATTTGAAGCTTTTGGCTCGATTGGGCCAATGAAGTCCATTCCCCAAGCAACAAAAGACCAAGGAGCCGACATAGGATATAACTCTGAAGGAGGCGAATGAATCAAATTACTGTGAATCTGACACTGGTGGCACTTGCGAACAAAACGAAAGCAATCTCGCTCCATAGTAAGCCAATAATATCCTGCCTAAAGGGTTTTCTTTGCTAGAACATATCCATTCATGTGCGGACCACAAACTCCCGAATGCACCTCATTCATAATCATTTCAGCTATTTTGGCATCCACACATCTCAATAAATTCAAATCCGGGGTTCTTTTGTATAAGATTTCCCCACTCAAAAAGAAACCATTAGAGAGTCGCGTAATAGTTCTCTTTTGATCCCTATTAGCATGTTCCGGATATTCTCTTGTTTTCAGAAATTGTTTAATATCATGGTACCATGGTTCACCATCTGGTTCTGCTTCAATTGTGTTGCAATAACCATGTTGATCCCGAATTTGAATTTCTAATGGGTCAATGTGAGTATTACCCGGATATGGAAGCATTGAAGCCAGGGTGGCCAAGGCATCAGCTAATTCATTGTGAAACCTGGGAATATACCTGAACTCGATGGACTTGAACCTTTTGCTAAGATCCTCCACACATTGTCTATATGGAATGAGCTTGTAACGACCGGCCGGTCGTTTTAAGAATTAACGCCCCGATTCCATATTAACTGCTTTCCCCGTGCTTATTTCTGTTATTGTGAGTTGCCGGGAGGATCCGTTTGGAGTTTCAGAGTGTTTTGGGACACTTAGTCCCTAAATCAGAGTTTAAGCTTTAAAATTTGAACCGTAGTCGGAGCAGGGTGAAGACGACCTCGGAAGGGAATTTTGTTGGTTCTGTTAGCTCCGTTGGGTGATTTCGGGCTTAGGGGCGTGTTCGGATTGTGTTTTGGAGGTCCGTAGCTTGATTAGGTTTGAAATGTCAAAAGTTGAATTTTTGAAATCCCCGGTTCAATAGTGAGATTTTGATATCGGGGTCGAAATGGAATTCTGGAAGTTGGAGTAGGTCCGTTGTGTCATTTGGGACGTGTGTGCAAAATTTCAGGTAATTCGGACAAGGTTTGATAGGCTTTTTGATCGAAAGCGGAAATTTGAAGTTTTTGATATCCTTAGGCTTTGATTGGAGAGTGATTTTTGGTTTTAGCCTTGTTTGATGTGATTCAAGGGTTGGAATAAGTTCGTATGATGTTTTAGAATTCGTTGGCATGTTTGGTTGAGGTCCCGGGGGCCTCGGGTGAGTTTCGGGTGCTTAAAGGAAGTTGAATTGGACTTAGGAGAAATCTGAAGTTGGCTGAACCTGTCATAACCGCACCTGCGTGTATGGGACCGCAGGTGCGGCACCGCAGAAGCGTTTGGAGGACCCCAGGTGCGGTCTGAGGCGAAAGTGGGATTGGTCGCAGATGCGGCCCTGGCACCGCAGAAGCGGCACCGCATCTGCGTAAAAGAGGTCGCATGCGCGGAAATTGTTGGTTTAATGAAAAGTCATAGGTGCGACTTAGTATCCGCAGAAACGGGACCGCGTGCGGTCCCAGAGTCGCGGATGCGGATCCATTGGTCAGAAAAGGGGAAGAACGAGGGTTTGAAATCGAAACTTGAAAAATTAAATTGGGAGCTCGGTAGGAGGCGATTTTTGGAGAGATTTTCGGAGGGAGTTAACTGGTAATGATTCTTAACTCCTTTTTGCTTATAACCTATTAATCTAATCATGAATTCATCATCTAATTTCAGATTTGGGATGAGAAATTTGAAAATTTTCGAAAAGGTCCTTAGGCCTAATTTTGGGTTTTGGTCAAGATTTTGATGTCGGGTTGGAATAATTTTGGTATGTATGAACTCGTGAGAGTGTGAGGATTCTGAATTTGTAAATTTTACCTAATTCCGAGACGTGGTCTCAGCGAGGATTTTTGGGCGATTTTCCTAATTTCGCATATTAGCTTCGAATTAATTAGTTGAATTAGTTACTTGAAGTTATATTTACACTATGCAATTACTTTGAATAGATTTGGGCCATTTGGAGTCGGATACTCGTGGCAAGAGCGCATTTTTGGATTTATTTTGAGCGGGTTTGAGGTAAGTGTCTTGCCTAACCTTGTGTGGGGGAACTCCCCTTAGGATTTGTATTGTTGATATATGAAATGCCTTGTACGTGAGGTGACGAGTGCGTACATGAGCTAATTGTTGAAAATCCGGTTTTTATTAAGTAACTATAATTGTGTATTTCTTCCCTGTTTACACTACCTGAAATTTAAGCCTACTGTTAGCTTAGGAAAGCATGTCTAAATGACTCAATTGTTTTACTTGCTCAAACTGCTTTATCTGAATTTTATGCAGCATACTAGGTTAGAATTACCTATTTACCTTGGTATGAAATTGGATTGAATTGAACATTCTTCGTGTGGTTGATGTGTGTTTACTTTGGGACAACGGGTTGTTTCCCGGTAGATCCCCCTTGCCTGTTTATTTGGGACTACGGATTGATATTCCGGTAGATCCCCCTGCACAGTTATATGGAACTACGGGACTGCACCCGGTAGATTTTCCCAGTACTAGGTATTTACATTTGGGACTACGGATCGGGATTCAGGTAGATCCCCCGCGCACTATGAGTTGGACTACTGGATGACACCCGGGAGATCCAGTAGATATTTACATTTGGAGACGACAAGACGGTATCCTGGTAGATCCCCGGTTGCTATCTCTGTGTTGAGCTGTATTCTTTCTGTGATTCTCTCTCTCTATTGTAATTGTTGTTATTCTTATTATTATACTGTGTTACTTCATACTGTTTCGTTTTCCTTATGTATATGTATATGACCGGTAGGGCCCTGACCTTCCTCGTCACTACTCGACCGAGGTTAGGCTTGGCACTTACTGGGTACCGCCGTGGTGTACTCATGCCCTTTCCTGCACATGTTTTTCGTGTGTAGATCCAGGTTTTTCGACTCGTCCCTACTATCCTTGAGGCGAGGCGATTCTTCAGAGACTTCGAGGTATATCTGCCGCGTCCGCAGACCGAGGAGTCCCTCTCCATTCTCTCTTGTAGTTATAGTCCTTATGTATTTCTTTGATTTAGACATTCCGGAGTTAGAACACTATGTAGTATCCGTAGCTTGTGATTCGTGAGTTTCCGGGTTTTGGGAGTTGTTCAGTTTTTGAGATATTGTATTGGTTTATGTTGGGCGGCATCTTAAATGCTTCTATATTGTTTATCTTTAGTTTTATTAGTTTTTCCGCATTTTGTTTTCCTTCCGCAAATTGTTAGGCTTACCTAGTCGTAGAGACTAGGTGCCGTCACGAAATGTTCACGGAGGGCGAACTTGGCTCGTGATAGAGCTTGATGTCACGAGTCTCCCAATCACCTTGAGCCTGCTGAATAAGCAAATCTAAATCTCCCATCACCAACAGTTCATGCACATTTAGGTTTATTGCCATGTTCAAACCCATGATGCAAGCTTCATATTCTGTCGTGTTGTTTGTACAGAAGAAACGAAGTCGCGTCGTGGTAGGGTAATGTTGCGCAGTAGGTGATACAAGAATTGCCCAAATCCCTACGCCTTTGATGTTGACAACCCCATCAAACTATAGTTTCCGAATTTGACGGACATCTTGGACTACGTCTTCAACTAAATTAACCTCTTCATCTGGGAAATATGTGTTCAAAGATTCATATTCATCATCAACCGGGTTTTCTGCCAGATGATCAGCCAAAGCTTGTGCCTTTATGGTAGTGTGAGTGACATAAACAATATCAAACTCTGTGAGCAAGATTTGCCACTTTGCCAATCTGCCAGTTGACATCGGCTTCTGAAAGATGCACTTCAGGGGATCCATTCGGGATATGAGGTAAGTTGTATAGGACAAAATATAATGCCTAAGCTTCTGAGCGGCCCAGGTTAAGGCACAACATGTCCTTTCCAAAAGAGTGTATTTGGCCTCATAAGTAGTGAACTTTTTGCTCAAATAATAGATTGCTTGTTCCTTTTTGTCTGTGGCATCATGTTGACCCAAAACACAACCAAAGGAATTATCCATTACTGAAAGATATACAAACAAAGGCCTACCAGGTTCCGGCGGGACCAAAACAGGGGAATTTGACAAATATTCTTTTATCTTATCAAAAGCTTCTTGGCACTCATCTGTCCACTTGATAGCAGCGTTCTTTTTCAACAACTTGAAAATAGGCTCACATGTGGTTGTAAGTTGCGCGATGAACTTGCAGATGTAGTTCAACCTACCGAGTAAACTCATGACTTCTTTTTTATTCTTCGGGGGAGGCAGCTCTCGAATGGTCTTTATCTTGGAGGGATCTAACTCAATGCCTCTTCGACTAACTATAAAACCCAAAAGCTTCCCAGAAGGAACTCCAAATACACATTTGGCTGGATTGAGTTTGAGATTGTACCTTCGTAACCTTTCAAAGAACTTTTTCAAGTCTTGCACATGATCCCCTTGTGTTCTGGATTTAATAATCACATCATCAACATACACTTCAATCTCTTTGTGCATCATGTCATAGAAGATGGTGGTCATGGCCCTCATGTAAGTTGCCCCTGCATTCTTCAAACCAAATGGCATGACCCTATAACAATAAGTTCCCTATGGAGTGGTGAAGGCGGTCTTTTCTGCATCTTCTTCATCCATCAGAATTTGGTGATATCCGGCATAACAATCCACAAAAGATTGATCTCATGTTTAGCACAATTGTCAACAAGAATATGAATGTTGGGTAAGGGAAAGTTGTCCTTTGGACTTGCTTTGTTTAAATCCCTATAGTCAACACAAACTCTGATTTTCCCGTCCTTCTTTGGCACTAGCACAACATTTGCTAACCATGTAGTGTATCGGACAACCCTGATCACATTTTCACTTAGTTGCTTCGTGATTTCTTCTTTAATCTTATCACTCATGTCTGTCTTAAACTTCCTTTATTTTTGCAGGAGTAGTGGAAAATTAGGATATGTGGGAAGCTTATGGACCACTAAATCGGCACTCAAACCCGGCATGTCATCATACGACCAAGCAAATACATCTTTGTACTCGAACAAAATTTGAATTATGGCATCTCTCGTCTTTTGTTCAGTATGAATGCTTATTTTTGTTTCTCTGGGTTCTTCATGACTTCCCAAGTTAATTGCCTCAGTTTCATTTAAGTTAGGCTTAGGCTTATTCTCAAATTGATCCAATTCCCTTTTTATTTCCTTAAGAGCCTCATCTTCATCATACTCAACTTCTTGATTCATTATTTCGAGATTAGACAACTTTATAAGATCTAAGCATGAATTTCGCGTGCATGTCATTTTTTAAAGCCAGCATTAACGAAACTGAAAATGATAAGAAATTAACAAAAATTAGGGAAAGGAAAAGACAGAATTCTACTATGAAACTGGAACTTAATTTCATTGAATTTGAAAGGATAGAAGGGTTAACATCAAAGCAAAGCAATTAAACTAAAATATCTGGATTACAACCCTGAAAATAATCCAAATACAGAAAAAGCAACAAAACAGACTACCAAGACTCCTTCCTGATGGGAAGAGGAGTTGCTTCCCAGTTGTTGAGCGAGGTATCTGGACCAATCAGCTGAACACTTGCACGGCTAGGGCCCTCACCAACTTGAACCATATTGATTCCATAGAACATCTCCTTGAGACAACTTCATCAACTGAGTAGAAGGATTTTGGACTGCTTCAAATTGTGGCTTGACAAAAGAGTAGGCAATGTGAGGAATTGGTTTGGACAATTTCCAACCATTCTTCTTGCGGGCCTTGGCTCCGTTTATGTCAGCTGATGTTGGTTTAAAACCCAAGCCAAATATATCTTTCTTCAAAAAGGGAGTAATGGGGTTCACAATCCCCTGCAGGGAGGATCCTAATCCTTTTCCTGGTTCATAGTCGTTCCTCAACATCAGGAAGCTACCATCATAGATGTGGCTGAAAGACGAGGATGCAAAATTGGTTTTCCTTCTTCCACTTGGTCCACCTCAAATACTTGATATATGATGGATTCACATCCTTCCTTGGCCTTGATACAAGGAATGGACGGGTCATTATAGACGGATGAGTCATCCTCCCCATGAACAACAATTTCTTGCCTGTCATACTCGAATTCGACCATTTAATGTAGGGTGGATGGTACAGCTCTGGCCATATGGATCCACGGACTTCCCAAAAGAAAATAATAGGAATTTTTCATATCCAACACTTGAAAGACAATGTTAAAATCAACCGGGCTGATTGTCATGGTGAGTTTGATTTCCCCAATAGTGTCTCTTCTTGAACCATCAAAAGCTCTGATGCTGACATTACTAGTCTGAATTCTATTAGTGTCAATGTTCAGCTGTTGCAGAGTAGAAAGAGGGCATACATCTACACTTGAGCCTCCGTAAATCATGACTCCTTTTACGTAATGCCCTTCACATTTGACCATAAGATGCAAAGCTTTATTGTGCCCAGCCCCTTCCTCAGGCAAATCATCATCGCTGAAAGAAATTTTGTTCACCTCAAAGAATCTTTCAGCTATTTTTTCTAGCTGATTCACCGTTGTCTTTTCTGAGACATATGCCTCGTTCAAAGTTTTGATCAACATACGGCGATGTTCTTCTGAGTGAAAAAGTAGAGATAACAAAGATATCTGAGCAGGGGTTTTCCTTAGTTGGTCAATGATTGAGTAGTCTTGCATTTTCATCTTCTTAAGGAATTCCTCCGCTTCTTTTTCTGCAACGGGTTCTTTCGCTGGCAAGTGACTTTCCTTGGGTTGCTTAGCTTCTCTTAATTCCTCTGGTGAGTAGCACCTTCCAGAGCGGGTCACGCCCCCTATTTCATCTGTTTATTCCACTATCTCTTTTCCTTAGTATGTCATGACAGTCTTGTAATAATTCCAGGAAATAGCTTTTGTGTTTGTCACTAGGAGTTGTGCAACAGGTTCGATCACAAGTCGCTCTGTTATATTTCCTAAACTATTATTTGGAACAATCTTTTGAATGCCCCCAGGGATGTAAAGTTTTGGCCCACCCAATTGAACCTCAACCTTTTTTGTGCTTCCAGGGACATAGAGAACCGTTTTTTCAGAACCTGCCAAGTTTGAACTAGGACTCGCACCTTTCACAATCAACGGTTCCAATTGCGGTTTTGGCTCCTGCCCTATGGTTCCAACAACCATCTCTGTCTTGCCAGACTGCTTATAATCCCGATCATCACAAATCATCCCAATAAAATGTGTATTATCATAAGCTGGGAGCGGATTGTTTGTCATATTAGGAGTATCCTCATTGTTTGTCACCACAATTGCCTTTGCTTCAATCAATTTTTCAATGGCTTTCTTTAATGTACAACAATTTTCGGTACTATGACCTTGGGTGTTAGAGTGATACTCACATTTTGCATTGGAGTCAAAACCTTTTGAATTTGGATTCACATAACGCGGCATGATAGGTTCAATCAACTTCAACTGCATCAACTTTCAAAATAGGCTTGTATACAATTATCCAATTGGAGTGAACTCTTTCTTTGGCTCCTGTTCTCTCACATATTCCTGTCTGGGACAAGGATTATATGGCGCCTAAAAGTTTGGCCGGAGTTGACGGGAGCCTTGTGGAATCGGTGCCCGCCATTGTTGGTGATTGGGAGGCCTAGCATAAGCCTGAGCATTAAACATTGTGTATTGTTGCGAGGGAACTGAGTACCGGGGACCCTAAGTCGGATAATAATGTTGAGGAGAATCGGATTGTCCTTGTTGGAATTGCACATAAGAAGGAACTATTCCTCTTTGAACTCCCCCGAACCCAGATGCCATCATGGATCCTTCCTCCTTCTTTTTCCGATTTCCGAAGCTGCCTGACCCGCTTTGAATTGCTTGCATGGTCGCCTTAAGGGTTTCCTGACTCACAATTTTGCCCGACTTCATGCCATTCTCAACTATTTCCCCAATCTTAATCGCCTCAGTAAAAGGTTTACCAATGGCGGCTAACATATAATGGAGGTAATCAGGATCCTAAGCTTGGAGAAAATAGTCAATCATTTCTGCCTCTTTCATTGGTGGTTTGACCCTAGTAGCTTGCTCTCTCCACTTGATTGCATATTCTCTAAAGCTTTCCGTTGGTTTCTTCTTTATGTTGACGAGAGAGGAGCGATCTGGCACTATATCAATATTGTACTGAAACTGCTGGACAAAATCTTGAGCCATGTCGTTCCAAACGTGCCAGTGAGAGAAGTCTTGATCTAGGAACCACTTTGACACGATTCCTATCAAACATTCCCCAAAATAAGCCATGAGTAATTCTTCTTTACCTCTTGCTCCCCTTAGTTGGTTACAATACCTCTTCAAATGGGCAACGGGGTCACCATGCCCGTCATACTTGTCAAACTTGGGGGTCTTGAAGCCGGGTGGCAAATGAACATGGGGGAACATGCATAGATCGTTAAACGAAACACTCTTGTGGCCTCCCAAACCCT